CACAGGATGAAAACAACCCTCAAATCGGACGTGGTGGTGCACATCTTTAATAGCACACAGATGAAAACAATCCTTAAATGGGACGTGGTGGTGCACACCTTTAATAGCACACAGATGAAAACAATCCTTAAATGGGACGTGGTGGTGCACACCTTAAATAGCAACAGTCAGGACACTGAACCAGGAGGATCAAGTTTGAAGTCAACCTGGGCTACACAGAAAGATCCTTCTCAAAAGGAAAAACAAAAAGCAGAACAACACAACAACAACAACAAAAGAAACCAAGTTTTCTGTGACATCCAGGTCCATGGTGACCTCCCAAGCTGCCAAACTGGCAGTGTTCATCTCCCAAATCATACCAAGGTCAGTAGGGGTGAGGAGAAAGCAGAGGGGATCACGCCATGTAGACCCCACAGCTTCTGCTCTGGGCAGCCTCGGGGGATTTGGTCACTTCTTCTGTCTCCTATGGAAAGACACAAGTGACAACGCTTGGGCCTCCTGCCACTCCGGCGCCTGAGCATCAGCTTAGACCACCACCACCCCCCCCCAGCCACGGCCAGGTCTTCGGGAGGCTGCGCACCTTCTCTGTGCAAGGCTTGGCTTGAGTGCGCGGGGCACTATGGGTGATGCAAGCGTTTGAGGCATTGTGGGCGATGCCACAATGTTGCAACGCTGGTGAAACACCATACCAGCCACTAGATAACACAACAGAATGAGCGTGGCTGAGTTCCAATAAAACTTTATTTGTGGACACTGAAGTTTGAATTCATATAATTTTCAGTATCAATTAATGGAAGCCTTTGATTTTTTTTTTCTCTCTCTAGCTATATAAGCCTGGAAAACTCATTCTTAGCTTGTGAGCCACAAGCAGTGGGGTCAACTGGGCCCCCATCCACAGTGTACCACTCTTAAGTTCCATTGGCATGAGCAGTCCTGAACCACCACCCAGGAAGCCACCCCCAAATTCCTAACCTCAGATACCAAGTAGGATCATCAGTGGAGCTAAGTTTCCAAGGCAGCTTGTTATGCAGCAATAGATAGCAGTACAGCCTTAGACAGGACGAGGACGCTCGCTCACATACGCTGTCTTCAGCTGTTTGCTGAATCCGATGTGCGCCGCAATCCCAGAGCTCAAGAGGCTGGGACAGGAAGACTGAAGAGGCCCTTGGTGAGTCTGAGGCCAGCCTGGTGCACACATACACGCAAGCAGGCAGAATGCTCCTGCATATATAATAAAAATAATGAATCTTTTAAATAAATCTCAAAAGGAATAACCACAGGGCTGAGGAATGCGACCAGCTAGGTCGAGTCCTGGCCTGCATGAAACACTAGTCCCCATCTCCATCACTGGAGAAAGCTGGGCATGGTGGCACACACCAGGTCTCAGGTGGAGGCAGGAGGATCAGAAGTTCAGGGTCATCTTCAACTACATGGTGAGTCTGAGGCCAGCCCGGGCTGCATGAAACCATCTTTTAAAAAAATACAGGATGGCTCAGAGGTTAAGAGCACTAACTGTTCTTCCAGAGGACCTGGGTTTGATTACCAGCACCCACCTGGTGACCCACTACTGTCTGTAACTCAAGTTCCAGGGGGTCTGATGACCTCTGTGGCCTCTGAGGATACCAGGCACACGTGTGGTATACAGACATGGGTACAGACAAAACACCCATCCACATTAAATAGCTAAAAAAAAGATTTTAAATTATAAAAACTGTTTTTTTTCTTTTAAGAACATTATAATGGGGAGTAATGCCTGGTGGGCAGCCATGTGCCCAGGGACCAAAAGTTAGCTAAAGTGAATGTGTGTCAAGGACTACAGAGAATTTGGGGGAAAATATGAAAACTTGGATCACAGCATGCTTTCTGTATATATATATATATATATTTTTTTTTAGCAGATTCTCATTATGTAGCCTAGAACTCACAAACACCCAAGAGCTGGGATTAAAAGCATGGACCCTCATGCCCAGCCTATTTTTATTTATTTACTTATTTTGGTTTCTTGAGACAGGGTTTCTCTGTGTAACAGCCCTGACTGTCCTGGAACTCACTCTGTAGACCAGGCTGGACTTGAACTCACAGAGATTCACCTGTCTCTGCCTCCGGAGTGCTGGGAATAAAGGCATGTGTCAATGTCCTTTTTTTAATGTTTTGACCTATTTTTATTTTAAACCTATGTATCTGTCTCCATGTATGCTCACACGCCAGAAGAGGGCGCCAGATCTCATTACAGATGGTTGTGAACATGTGGTTGTTTGGAATTCATGACCTCTGGAAGAGCAGCCAGTGCTCTTAACCACTGAGTCATCTCTCCAGCCCCTGAAGCTACAGGTTCTTAGGAGTTGCCTGATGTGGGTGCTGGAAACCAACTTAGGTCCTCTGCAAGAGCAGCAAAAGCTTCCAGGCCTTTAATCCCAGCCTTGGGAAGCAGAGGCAGGCAGATCTTTGTGAGTTCGAGACCAGCCTGGTCTACAAGAGCTAGTTCCAGGACAGGCTCCAAAAGCTACAGAGAAACCCTGTCTCGAAAACCAAAAAAAGGAGCAAAAGCTCCTAACCACTGAGCCATCCCTGCAGCCTCTTTGAGAGACATCTTTACAAAACACTTAAAATTAAGTTCTGGACACAAGTAAATAAGAATTAACTTGTTGATTCATGTTTGGTGGCACACGCCTTTATTCTGGCACCCAGAGGCAAGTAGATCTCTGAGTTCAAGCCCAAACTGATCTATATAGCAGGTTCCAGGCCAGCCTGGAACAATGAGACCCTGCCTCCAAAACAATAAATGAATAGTAATTTAGTCGTTGAGGGCTGTGGAAGATGGCGTGGGGGGGGGGTAGGCACCTGTGTGATGAAGCTGGATCGGAGACCTGATTTCCAGAACCCACATAAAAGCTGGGCATGTTTGACAGGCCTCCTAGAAAAGGCAGATGGATTCAGGATCCCCAGAAGAAGCCGGCTAGCCTCTCTCCCCGCAGAGAGATCGACCAGGCAGGTTTTTTTATTCCTGAGACCTATTCAAGTCATAATCTGAACAATGATAGAAGAAGATTCTTTTTGTTTTGATTTTGATTTTGGGTTTCTCTGTGTAGCCGAGTGCTGGGGTTAAGGGCGTGAGTCCCACCTCCCAGCCCGAAGAAGATTCTTGACATCAACCTCAGACCTGCTTGCCTGCACACACCTGTGAACACACACATATAGCAACACTCACTCCCAGCACTCAGGAGGCAGAGGTAGGTGAATCTCTGTGAGTTCGAGGCCAGTCTAATCTACAGAACGAGTTTCAGGACGACTAGAGCTGTTACACAGAGAAACCCTGACTCAAAAAACCAAAATCAAATAACTCAGAGGTAGCCAGGGATTCTTTTCTGCCGCTAGAGGGCGCCCGTCTTTAGCTCGGCTTTCGGGTAGTCAGGGAGCGGGCAAGGCGAGGGGTCTCCAGCCGGAGGTCCCAGGACCAGAAAGCCTGGGGTGGAGGAAGAGAAAGACCCTGGGGATCCTGCCTCCAGGTCCCCACTGAGGCCACAGAGATTCGGGCGAGTTTCCTGCACTAGCGTTGATCCTGGTGGCAAGGCGCACAACGGCCGCTAGATGGGGATTGTCGTTTGTGTGCTAGGTCAGGGCACAGATCTATGGCGTGTCCCTCTGGGGCGTGTCTCCGAAGAAAGTTCTGGAAAGAAAGGTAGCTTGGAGATTCAACCTACTGCCTACAGTGGAGGTCACGGGGAGGGCTTCTTGGTCTCTAGTGAGAAGCGGTATTGGCTCCGGAACACCGCGCCTAGTGCCATCCCGACGGAGGCTGAAAACCAACCCAGGCTGCGCTAGTCACCGGGTCCCCATAAATCACTTATTTATGGCAGGGCACGGGGTCGGGACCGTCGGATCAGGACCACAGGATCTGTGTCCAAGGGGCGCGCACGGCTGCGACGGGGACCCAGGCCTGCCCGTGACGCCCCGCCCAGCCCAGGGTATCATCTGCTGGAGGCACCGCGTCTGCCCCGGGGACGCGCGAGTAGCGACCTGTCCCGACGCTGGGTGAGGCGCCCAGCTGGGTGCCACCCAGCGAGATGCCCACCCCCGCCTGCCCAGTCGTCTCCAGGGATCCGAAAGCTTGGCATGTCCAAATAAGAGAGAGAAGCTCCTCTTTTTTGAGTTTTTAATTTCATTTGTGTTTTTGGCAGAATCTCATTCTGTATCCCAGGCTTGCCTCCCACTCAGGGCGATTCCCTTGCCTCAGCTTCAGAGAGTACTGCGATAGCAGGCATGAGCCACCGTGCCCAGCTTTCCTCCTTTTGCACAAGGAAACATTTTGGTGACCTTTGTAAAGATGACACAGTTTCACATAAAGGTATCGCCAAATGCCAGAAGGCTGCAGGAACACAACGGCTTGCTGTACAGAAGGCACTTGATGCTCTTGGATTAGACCCGTGTCGGGCCCCTCACAACTGCTTGTAACAATACCTCCAAGGAATCTGACACCCTTTTTACTCATACACACGTACCCCCCACACACACTCACACTCACGAAATAAAAAATAGTTACAAAGTAATTGATGTGGTAGTGCCAGGCAAGAGAATGGCCTCAAGTGTGAGGCCACACTAAATTTTACCCTTCCCCCACCCCACCCTCACCACCTGGGGGCTCCACCAATGAAATCCCGCCAAACTTCGGCTAAGCTACCTCCTTGAGGGGCGTCTCAGATAGGGCTCCCTTTAACCTTGGGTCACTATGTTTTGGGTTTTTTGTTGTCCGAGACAGGGTTTCTCTGTAGCTTTGGAGCCTGTCCTGGAACTAGCTCTTGTAGACCAGGCTGGCCTCGAACTCACAAAGATTCACTCGCCTTTACCTCCCAAGGGCTGGGATTAAAGGCATGCGCCACCACCGCCCGGCTGGGTCACTGTTTTTCTCTGAGCCTCAGTTTCTTCAGCCATACATAAAGGACACGGACACAACCGGGAACTACAGCTACACTTTATTCGCCATCCACAACCCTCCTCTCCGAGCCTCCCCGACGACCCCACCGCCCTCAGCTCAGAAGACATTCACTGAGTGCAGCTGCACGTCTCCGCCCACTTCCACAACGCGCACATTTGCTGGTGGCATCCGGTGCTTGAAGTGGAGGTACTCACAGTCCCCGACCACTGCCTGCAGAGTGAAAGATGAAGTTAGGCCTGGATGCGAATCGCGGTCTGCGACCCTGGAAGACGCTAACCGCAGCGAGCCTCTCTCCTCAGAGGGTCTGTTGTCCGTTGTAATGGGACACAATGAGTACAGTACAAAGGTGTTTCCCAAGTGTGGGCGGCTGATGTCACGACCACTAGAGCGCGCACTGCTACTACAGCGGGAGTTAAAGGTGGTGTGGGTGATAGTGGATGTTGGTCTCAGACCAACAGGGAGGCTGGTTTGTGTTCACAACACCCTGCTAGGACACCCATCCCAAGGGCACTTGGCTCTGGATCACTCAGTCTTGTCGCTGTTAAGGGCAGGTCTGTGTCAGGAGCTGGGCCCCTGTCTCAGCACCCCAAGACCTTTCCCCCCACCCTCACTGCAGCTCAGTACTCTGCTCTAGACCCGGGTCTGACCCATTCCTCTTCAAAGATGCACCTTGAAGCCGTCTTCTGTGGCTATGAGGAGCACTTCAAAGGGTTGCCCCCGTTGGAAGGGGATGCCCGAGCCCCGCTCCTCGCGGCCCCATTTGCCTTGCTCTTTAGTGTTGAAGACAACCTCGGACGTGTCGAGCCTCGGGTTAAAGTGCAGGGCGGCGTCTGCCCCCTGCTCCTCGCTGCACAGCAGGTTTATATGGAACCTGCCGGGGACAGTAGGCCTCAGAGATCAGCAACCACCATGCGCAGGTCCCCGGGCACGCCCACACCCACACAGAGTCCCTGTGTTTATAGCCAGGATACAGTTCCAGACGCTGGAGCTGTCCTGGAGTTCTGGTGTGATGGACGGCCTGCTGTTCCTATATTACAGGAATCCCACCCCAGATGAGAGGGGCCAGTAGCATGGACCCCATTATTCCTGATTACCAATTCTCCCACAAAGTCCAAGGTCTCAATTTTAGTAGACCACGGGTTTGATGACCAGGTACCCTGGGCATCCAGGGTGGCATCAAGACCCAAGGCAGATTTTCAGGCTCCTGAGAAACGGGACATGGAGCTCCTAGGACTAACCAGGGACTTTTGAGGTTGCCCTAGAATCCTAAATTTTTAGGGAGACCTGTGCACCCACCCACGAAGTCTTGGAGGAAAATTAGCGAATACATCCAAATTAAGATAGCAACACTTGACAGAAAAGGCCCCAGGGACCCCATGTATGGGCTATAAGAAACAGGGATCTACTGAGCCAGGAGAGCCCCCACACTTTCCCCTGGAGCCCAGGATGTTACCTGCCAGCCTGTTCCGGGACGACGCCTCGGATTCTCATGACTGTGCCAGTGCGGACGCCCTGAGGCAGAGGGGTCTTGTGGTTGGTGGCCTGAAAGATTTGGGTGGGGCAGGGATGGGAACCAGGGAGACAAAGAAACAAATGGGTCAGTTCCAGCTAGGAACTCCAGGGAAAGGCCCGAAGACAAGAGGGGATGCAGATTAGAGAGGCAGAGACAGCATGAAGAGGGACCGACACAAAACAGTTACAAGGAGGGAAACCAGCAAGGTACGGCCCATCAGGACCAGCCGGTGAGACCCAAGAGACAGGCCACACTCAGCTCTCCGGGTGCCTGTATTTTTGGGCTTTGACGAGGAGGTTTCAGCAAGGCCAGGCCTCCTGATCTGTCCCACCCTGGTCCCAGCTCCTCCAGTCTCAGAACACTTACGGGGCTCGCAGACATGGCTGGTGCACCAATATGGAAGCAATGAGGCCGGGAGCCGCAGGAGGAGACCTTAAGTAAAGGGTGCAGCTCCACCCTTCCCACCCAACACCCACACCTGGCACAGACCCCGGCCCTAAGGGCAAATCTGTTAAGACTGGGCCAGTCTCCTCCTGCCCTGCCCCCACAGCAACTGGGGGCGCGGCTGTCTTCCCCTTTCCTAGGATTGTAGAATAGGGATATCTTTCAGCACCAAGACTGGAGAGGTTCTCTCTCTACCCCACTCCCTCCATGGCCCCACCCGGCACAGGACTTCTCTGGATCCAGAGAGACTCATCAGCCAGAACCGCCACCACCTCTTTCCCAGAGGGAGCCTCCTCCCAAGAGCCAGGCTGTTCTGCTTGGCCCAGCCCAACTCTACCTCTGGCAGACATAATAGCTCAATGGCATTTATTGGGGGCCCCAGGAAACCCATCATTCCTTCTTGTCATATGCCAGGCCGAGGTTACCAGAGTGTTGTTATGTCTGGCACATTGGAAGTGCCTGGTGGTGGAGGGTGAAATGAAGAAGGCACACTTAGCAGTGACCCTACCTAGGCCTCTGGGTGTCCAGATGTGTGTGTCAGCATCCCTGAAGCCACCAGGACACACGGAGAGCAGCCTCCCCAAAATATTAACATACAGAGGACTGAGTTGGAGGGAGCAATTTTCCCAAAGAGCAATCTGCCACAGGCGTTTTGTGGCCCCTTCCCTGTGGTTCTGCCCTGGGTCTCCATCCCTATCCTTTTCCTCTCAAGTGTCCAGCAGAGACTTCTGACCTGAGCCCATCTTCCCACCCAGTTAGGGTGAGATAGGATAGGGGTTAGTGGGTGTCCCAGCTCCAGTCACCACCCAGATAAAGTAAACACAATTGGGACACTGTTAAGAGCCCGGGGTTTCAGTCGCCAGGACTCTAGAGGAAGTGTGGGGGAAATCAGAAAGAATGGAAAAGGAAGTTTCTAGAAGGCAAGCAGAAGAGGGTGGAAGTGCGGACCAGTTACCACTCCTAACAGCCCAGCAACCTTCCTGGAAGATTTTCCCCATCCCTACCCCCCCTCCTCTGCCCCACCCACCAGGTGGTAGAGCCCTGAGCCAGATGCATACTGGGAATAGAAAGCTAGGTGGGGACTGCTTCCTCTCTGTTCCTCTGTCCCAATATCCAGATTCCCAGCCCTAGAACACACATCAAGGACTCCCACGTGGAGGTCCAGAGAGGGAGCAGAGGATTCGAGAAAAAGTGGGGAACTGCAGTGCTAGGGAACAGCACTCCTCTTTTTGTGTAGGAGAAAACAGGCTTGAGCTGGGCGTGATGACCCACACCTGGAAATCAGCACTTGGAGGTGGAGGCAGGAGAATCAGCTCAAGGTCATCCCTGACTTCACACTGAGTTTGAAGCCAGGACTGCACACCACTGTCTCAAAAAACAGCAACCACCGGGCTTGGTGGCGAACGCCCCCATCTCAGCACCTGGGAGGCAGAAGCAGGTAGATCTCTAGGAGTTAGAGACCAGCCTGTTCTACACATATTTCGAGCTCCGAGATAGCCAGGGCTACATAGAGGGACCCTCTCACAAAAAGCAAAACAACAACCCAAATGGACAATGGCTGGAGGGATGCCTCAGTGGTTAAGATCATGGCTGCTCTTGCAGAGAACCCTAGCTCAGTTCCCAGCACCCTCATCAGGGGTCTCATCACTGCTTAAAACTCCAGGGATCTGACGCCCTCTTCTGGCCTCTTCAGGTACCCACACACATGTGCACACGCACACACACACACACACACACACACACACATATACACAATTTAAATTTAAAAGCAAACCTTGGGTTAGAGAGGAACATCTTAGAGCAGGTTTTGAAGGCTTTACCTTGGGACTCTACAGGACAGGGACACATCAGAGGGCTGAACCAGAGGACATCTGGTTTCATGTTGCAGCCCCCTCAGCTTGTCACACTTAGGCCAAAAATTGTGGCTCCTATTATTCTAACTTCACGCTCTGTGTAAACCACTGTCTGACACTTGTCTGAACCTCGCTTTGTTATTACTGATTCCCACGGACCGGCTCTCATTTCTGCATCAGCGCTGGACCTGAGTTCATGTGAGGCTCTTTGCAGGTCTGGGCTTGTCCTCAGTGATTGGCCAAACGCTTGCATTCAACCCTTTATCAGTTCCTATATCTGCCTCCTGTCTGGGAATGGAGAAGTGCTGAGTCCCTGACTGACTCCTCTTTGTATCAATGATCTTTGTTATAATTTGAATAATATCCCCTTAAACATATTTTTTTCATTTTTAATTCATTAGTGAATGTATTTATTTCCTGTGACTCATCTTTACAGAAACATGCTATGGATTAAGAAAGATTTTAACAAAATAGGTCCTTGAGGGTTTTTTTTGGGGGGGGAGGGGGTTGCTGTTGTTGTTTTGTTTTGTTTTTAAGACAAAATTTTATATAGCCCAGGCTACCCTTGAACTTAATTAGCCAAGGATGGCCTTGAATTCTTGATCCTCTCTACCTCTCAAGTGCTAGGCATGTACCACCACAACTGGTCTATGCAATGCTGAGGGTTGAACCCAGAGTTTTGTCTTTGCTAGACAGGCACCCTACCAACTGAGCCACATCCCCAGCTCTGCCGTGGGAACTTAAAATCCAAGACAACCCAGGACTCATTCCATCAACGTCAGTCTGGTGGATTTTTTTGTTTGTTTGTTTGTTTGTTTTCAAGACAAGGTTTCTCTGTAGCTTTGGTGCCTGTCCTGGAACTAGCTCTTGTAGATCAGGCTGGCCTTGAACTCACAGAGATCCGCCTGCCTCTGCCTCCCAAATGCTGGGATTAAAGGTGTACATCTCCACTGCCCAGCCTGTTAGAATTTTTATTATTTTTTATACACAGTGAAAATAATGAAGTGAAGCTGGGCAGTGTGGCACATACCTTTAATCACAGCACTTGGGAGGCAGAAGCAGGCATATGTCTGTGAGTTCGAGGCCAGCCTGATCTACAAGAGCTAGTTCTAGGCCAGCCAGGCCAAACCAAAAAAAAAAAAAAAAAAAAAAAAAGAAAGAAAAGAAAGAAAAGAAAAAAAAAGAAAAGAAAGAAAGAAAAAGAATAAAGAAATAATAGAACGAGAAGATAATAATATTTATGATTTGATGAAAATCTAAACTTTAAAGATTTTATTTTGACTTAAGTATGTGCCTAGAGGTGGAGTATGTGCACGTGAGCGTAGTGTCTGGGACAACTAAGAGAGGGTGTTGGGCCGGGCAGTGACAGGGGGATCTCAGTGAGTTCGAAGCCAACCTGGTCTACAAAAGCTAATTCCAAGACAGCCAGGACTGTTACACAGAGAAACCCTGTCTTGAAAAACAAAAGAAAGAAAGAAAGAAAGAAAGAAAGAGGAAGGAAGGAAGGAAGGAAGGGTATTGAATCCTCTGAAACTGGAATTACAAGGACTTATGAGTGTCTGACATGAGTTTTATTTTATGTGTATGGGTGTTTTGCCTGCATATGCGTATGTGTGCCATGTGAGTGCAGTACCTGAGGAGGTCAGAAGAGGGCGTAGGATCTCCCAGAACTGCAGTTATAGACAGTTGTGAGCCACTGTGGGTCTTGGGAACAGAACCTGAGTCCTCTGGAAGAGTAACCAGTGCTTTTAACCACTCATCCATCTCTCCAGCCTCCTCTTTCTTTCTATTTCAATGAAGTCTCCCTGTAGTCTCAGCCTCCCCACTGCTGGGGTTAAAGGTCAGAGTCACTGCACCTGTGGGAAAGCAAATGATTCTGATGATAACTATAGTGAATTGAAGACTCGGGCCTTGTCTCGTAGTGTTCAGCTCTGTTTGTGAACTTATTTAATTAAAAGCTCTTGATTATTTTAAGCTGACAGCATGGTTTTACCAGGCATTCATTTTTCACTGTTCTAATTGTGCAGCAAGCATTCTAGGTGATAAACTAGGTCTTGTGCATCTCAGGGCCTGGGAATAAAATGCTCTGGATGACTCTCTTCTCTGGCTTCCTGTCTTTCCCCCTTCCCAAGTCTCATTGTGCAGACCAGGCTGGCCTAGAACCCTCAGAGATCTGCCTGCCTCTGTCTACTGAGTGTTGTGATGGAAGACAGGCACCACCAGCTGTGACAACCCGCCCAGTTTTCGGAGACAGCCTGGAGTTCGATGATTTGGCTAGGTTGCCTAGTCATCAATCCCCAGGGAGCCATCTGTCCCCAAATCCCCAGAGCTGGGATTACAAGTGTGCTCTGCCATGCCCGGTTTCTTACGTGGGTACCGAGGATCAAATTCAGCTTCTCACGCTTGTGGGACAAGCACTTTACCAAGGGAACATTTTCCCTATCCTCCTCAAGGGCAGCCCCAAAGAGTACGAGATGAGTTGGCCACCCCTCCTGGAGTGATTAACAGTGCTGAATGGGCGGCTCACCTAGAGGTCTTTGTTTGGTTTGAGATTATAATACAGTTATAATATTTCTCCCTTCCCTTTCCTCCCTCCAAATCCTACCATATACCCCTCCCTAATCCTTTTAAATCCATGCCTCTTTTCCCCTTATATATATTGTATATATACATACATTTGAATATATGTTTAAATATGAAGTGTTCAGTCTAACCTTATTTTATGTATATTT